TGCTCTATAGGGTTGAGATCTGGACTTCTTGCTGGCCAAGGAAGAGTGCTGATGGATTCATTCTCTAAATAAGCCTTTATTGACCTGAACGCTCACATCCTTTTAATTATGTTTGAAATTATGAACATTGCTCAACATCATGAAAATTAAACCTTATTTTCAATAAGCAATCCTGAAAAGTATTTGGGGGTGCTTAACTTTTTTCCAGGTGTATATTTCAGTTGATGTTAGAAAACTTCAGCATACATATACCAGCTGGTAAAATGGTGGCATTGTGTGGACCATCTGGTGGAGGTGAGTTGGATGAGAGTGTTGCTTAAACATTATTCTTATATCAACTTAAGTCTTCAGTGGTAAGTTTACAGGTTTACAACACTAAAATCCCATGTTTGATTCTTATGGTGGACTGAGTGTGGATAGCTTATTGGGGAGCTTTTACTAAAATAAAACAAACAAAATTCATCAACTTAAAACCAATAGCAGAGCGAAAAGCTTTTATAAATAATTAAATTTAGTATTTACATGGAAGAAATGCTCTAAAATTTTTCCTAATGTGTAATTAAACCATATTGTATGTTAGATGATATTAAACTATATATAACTTTTTTTTTCTTAAAAATGACTGCTTCTCTTTCTCTTTACATATAAGTACAATATCAATTCTTCATGATGTTTTTCTGTAGGAAAGTCTACAGTGGCTGCTCTTCTTGAGAGATTTTATGATGTTGATAGTGGAAGCATCACATTAGATGGAAAAAACTTGGATCAGTTAGATCCAAAATGGCTTAGAGGACATGTTTTAGGATTTATCAACCAGGTGAAATTGTTGTTTACTAATTCTCCAGAAAACTAATAAATAGATTGAAAGTAGTTGTTGTTTTTTCTTGAAAAAAGTTATTAATTTTTATATTTAAGTTATATTAAAGATAATGACAGAATGTATTCCATAATTTTCTGTAAAAGAGAACAGTTTCTTCAGTGGATTTTATGAACAGTAAATCACAATGGTAAACTGCAGATGAAAGTAGTTGCTCTAAATTTTAAAATCAACTTTCTCTCTGATACAAGGACATTGAGTTGATGCTATTTTTTCCAGGAACAGATTATTTTTAAATTTTTGGGAAAGAGATGATTATATGATAAAACTATTATGATAGTCTTTAGTCATACATTGTACTTCATGCCAATAATTTATAAAAACCAAGCTGGAATCAATTCAGTTTCTTATCGGCTTATTTTTAATCATTTGATCCCTGATGTATTATTGTACTTTCCTGGATATGAGTTGTTGCATATAAGCAAACATGTTAGAAAGCTTTAAAGGAAATGAGTAAATTTTACTTAATGTTCAAAACCTGATTAGAATGAGGGTTATAAAGTGAATAACAGAAGACAGTGGGAAAAAAAAGCTGAAAGTAATGAAATGGTTACTGAATAAAAGTTTAGAGATGGCTTGAATGGGTAATGAAGAAAACTTTATTAACAATGTACAATGTTTCAACAAGATTATGTCATCATCAGGTACAAGTAGTTTACGGAGACACACAAATATATATACACGCACACACAGTATGGAACAAAGAGGTCACATGACAGGAGATTGCTTAACAGCTCAGTAAAGGTATCTTGGTACCTCAGGGTGTTGGTTTAGAGTATGGCTGTTTTGTTCAGTTAAGATAGCTTACTTTATTTTGCATTTGTTATTTGTCCATACCTATCTAGTAAAATGTTTCCATTGTCTGTTCTATGGTAGGGTTGTTTTAACATGGCTTAAACCAGTTGCACAGTCTGGAGTCAATGTTATTAATATCATCACTTGATTTTAATATCATTGAAAACAAATACCATCAAAATATACTTTTTTCTTATTATGGATAACTCCTCATTTCATATTCAATAATTATTTGTTAATTTTCAGACATTAACAATCAAAAAAGGTTTATGGAATACAAAAACTCAAAAATCAAACTAATGTATGTGTATAATGTCAAATAATGATAATAATTGAAGCACAATGTAATGTGGATGTAGACAGCTAAATGACATCCACCAGTGATAAAAGAAATGAATATTCTGAACTAGTGAGTAAAGGTAAAGAAACATTATTTACAGTTTCTTAAAACCCTACCACAAAATACTTGTTTTTTAAACAAATTGTTATATTAAAAATATTTGTTCATAACCATAATAAATTTGATTTTGTTTAAATTCAAACAGTTGAGTATACATGTACAGGGAAAGTGTTTTCTTTAACATACTTACATTATGAAGGTGGTTTCTTTAACATACTTACATTATGAAGGTGGTTTCTTTAACTTACTTACATTGTGAAGGTGGTTTTTTTAACATACTTACATTGTGAAGGTGGTTTCTTTAACTTACTTACATTATGAAGGTGATTTCTTTAACATACTTACATTATGAAGGTGGTTTCTTTAACATACTTACATTATGAAGGTGGTTTCTTTAACTTACTTACATTGTGAAGGTGGTTTTTTAACATACTTACATTGTGAAGGTGGTTTCTTTAACTTACTTACATTGTGAAGGTGGTTTCTTTAGCAAATGTATACTGTGAAGGTGGTTTCTTTAACATATACTGGGAAGGTGGTTTCTTTAGCAAATGTATACTGTAAAGGTGTTTTTTTTACATATACTGGGAAAGTGGTTTCTTTAGCACACTCACCCTGAGAACCTGGTTTCTATAGGATACACTGAGCAAGTGGTTTCTTTAGCACACTCACACTGGGGAAGTGCTTTCTTTAGCACACTCACACTGGGAAAGTTTTTTTTTTAGCATACTTACAATGGGAAGGTGATTTCTTGAATGAGAAAGATTAATTTTGAGAGTTGACATTTAAAATATTTTTATTGGTTGAATATTTTAGCTACAGAATAGTGTATAAAATAATTTTAATAACAGTATTTCAATGAACACAATGACAAAGAGTGACTCTTAGGTGTACCATAGATTTATCATGTAAGGATTATTTATTTCACTACTGAAGTTTTTGTCATAATTGCATGTCATGTTATTTGAACTATTTTATTTATATTCATCTAGGAGCCAGTTTTGTTTGCCACCACAGTCATGGAAAATATTAGGTATGGTCGGCCTGATGCTACAGATTCAGAGGTATAGTCTGTGTTTATGATGTCATCTGTCATAGGATTTCAAGGTTTTGTTCTCTATAATTGTACTTCCTGTGTTACTGTTAATTGTTCTTCTGTGGCAGCACATATTTCAAGGTTTTATTCTCTATTATTGTACTTTCTGTGTTACTGTTAATTGTTCTTCTGTTTCAGCACTTATTTCAAGGTTTTATTCTCTATAATTGTACTTCCTGTGTTACTGTTAATTGTTCTTCTGTTTCAGCACATATTTCAAGGTTTTGTTCTGTATTATTGTAATTTCTGTGTTAGTGTTAATTGTTCTTCTGTTTCAGCACTTATTTCCAGGTTTTGTTCTATATTATTATACTTTCTTTGTTACTGTTAATTGTTCTTCTGTTCCAGCACTTATTTCAAGGTTTTGTTCTCTATAATTGTACTTCCTGTGTTACTGTTAATTGTTCTTCTGTGACAGCACATATTTCAAGGTTTTGTTCTATATTATTGTACTTTCTGTGTTACTGTTAATTGTTCTTCTGTTTCAGCACTTATTTCCAGGTTTTGTTCTATATTATTATACTTTCTTTGTTACTGTTAATTGTTCTTCTGTTTCAGCACATATTTCAAGGTTTTGTTCTATATTATTGTAATTTCTGTGTTAGTGTTAATTGTTCTTCTGTGGTAGGTTTTATATTCCTTTTCTGATAAAACTTGGATAAGGACTACTAGATTATTGAAATGTAGATTGAGTTTGTTTACTCTAACATAAAATTAAGATTTAGTTTCAGTTTTTACATAAGACATGTTTTAAATATATATCTTTAACATGAGAATTGGTGTAATTTCCACATGTGTATTTGTCAAAATTAGAGTAATAAATATTAGTTTGTGTTAGCTCACTTATTTACAGTTATGTAGATAGTTTTATTGTTATCACACTGAGTTACATCTTTCACTGTCATTTCTTGTGTTAGTTTCAACTTAGGTGTAGTTTCAGATTTTATGACTAGTTTTAGATGTTGACTTACTCTTTAGTTTCATAAATACCAAGACATATTTACATGTTTACTCTGTTTTTTTATGGTTAATACTGAATATTATTATTTTTTAGATTGAAATAAGGAGATTTCTAGTTTATTTAGTTAGATGGAGTTGAACTGTACATACATGCTACCACTATACCCCTTGGTGTGGATACAAATATTGATATATTTATAATTTCCTGAGTTTTGTTTTAATTGTGTTAGAACTAAGGCAGAATTCTAGGTGTTTATAATCTTTATAATGTAGCATGTAAGTGTCGAGTTTTTGTTTTAGTAAAAATGGAGATATTATTTCAGATTTAAGGAATTTGTTACAGCTGAGATTGTATTTTTTGATTTCTCTTTATTATTGATAAGAAGTAGGTTATTGCTTTTAGAATTTTATGCTATTCTTTGAGATATAGTCTTAAAGTTTTATATTTTAGTTAAGGTTGAAATGTAGCTATAGTTGTAAACATGATATTAACCTTTGGCTCTGTACAGCCAGTTAGTTTTTTAACTAATGCTTCATGATGTTTTCCACCAGTATACTTTTTGTTTTTTTCTGCTTAAGTAAGAAATTAGTATTTGACTAAAAGAACAATACTGTAAGTTTGAAGAACAAAATGAAAAAGCCTTTATTATCAGTATATTTCTTTGAGTTTTATGTAGTTGTGGCTAATGTTATGATACAAAAATTGCTTGGAGAAATGAAGGTATAGAAGTGTATGGTGTACTAGTTTATATTATATATGTTTCTCAGAAATGTATTGAATTTCATGTATTTAATTACAAATCAAGATGAGAATGAGTGATATTTAAGTACTATAGAAGTTTAATAAGGGGAGAGAAGTTTGTGTAATTTCAACAGCAGCACAACTGTATGAATTTATAGATTTATTTATAATGTTAAGATGGTGTAATTCTGTTTTTAGTATTACAGGTACATATAGTTGTAGATATTTCATACCTACTGTCTATTTCACAGAACATTCTACAGTGTACTTGTGTTTATGTCTTGCATATTTTATAAAAGGCAACTAAATTCAACTTTCTAGTTGCTCTCATAAATAACATTTTTTTCTGTGACTATATGCAGGAATGTTTAAATAGTGTACTTTTTGTTCTTTAATTTGAGGTTTGAGCTCTATAATTATTTTTTTTTCTTTTAGAAAATGTTATGATGGTGATAACTGTTTCACTTAGTAACTCATGGTTTCTAGATTTATGTGAACTATACCCAAGGAAGAGAAACAGTTTTCATTTTGTAATCATCCATGTTAAGTTTCACTGAGAGATGAAGAACACATTCTGTTATATATAGTTTTTCTGCATTACACTTGCATTTTATCAGTAGGCAACACAAATTCTTGGTTGTTTTAGGTGGTTGAAGCTGCAAAACTTGCAAATGCTGATGAATTCATTTGCAGCTTTCCTAATGGTTACAATACAGTAGTTGGAGAACGTGGTGTGACAGTATCAGGTGGACAGAAGCAGAGGATTGCTATTGCACGAGCACTCTTGAAGAATCCTACTGTCATAATTTTAGATGAAGCCACAAGGTTTGTATTTGTGAACTTTACTAGTTGATGAGACCTTTATATCTTTATTTGAATTATTATTTTTCTCAAATTAAGTCTGTATATATATACTACATTTGGAGATTTTTGTGGCATCCAAAGGAGAATGCTTAATTATACTTTCACCCAAACCTTGAAGTGTATAAAATATTTAGTTATTGAGTGTTAATAACATGTTCGTAATATTGGTTCTACTTTAATAACATGTTTGTAACATTGGTTCCACTTTGTGGTTAATGGCACATTAATAAACATTGATTAAAATTTTTTGTGGCTAACAACACATTCGTAAACACTTGTTCTGCCTCTTCTGACTAATAAAATGTTTAAAAATATTGGTTCTGATACTTTGGGACTAATAACATTTCAAGAATGTTGGTTCTGGATTTTTGTGGCTAATAATATATTTCCTTTGAAAATCATTGGTTTGCAGAAAAAAAAAAAAAAGATTATGAACTCCAAAACCACTTATTAAAGAACTTATTCACCCTTCAGGATTTTTATATTGTGAATTATATTGAATATGGAAGTATACATGCAGTAATTGTTCAGAGATTACAACTTATATGAGAGTTATAATGTATGTGAAAAAATATCTCTTGACATGGACCTACAAAATTATGTGGGAAACAACGATTGTCCAAAAGTAAATTCTGACTAGCAGTAAGTTAATATGCTTGTGAAAATCTTTTGTCTAAAGATTCATGGAAGAGTACAAACGTTGTGGGGATTTAATATGCATTATATTCAGTTTTTATTTTTAATCTTCCTTAAAGTGCTCTAGATTCTGAATCGGAAAAGGTAGTTCAGGAAGCATTGGACCGTGTTACGAAAGGTAATGTCATAACTTTCCTTCTTACACACTTAGTTTGGACATTCTGAATAAAAAATGTTATCATATACCGTATATTCACTCTCTCTAAGGGTAGCATAACTTCTGCTGATATCCACCTTGGTTGTTTTTAAATCGTACTACTAACTTCTAGTGTACATTACATCTGAAATAGTTGTCAACTAAAATGAAGACAGTGAATATAGGATTCGTAATTGCTTCTAAAGAGGTAACCAGAGAATATTAAACCTACATATTGAATAAAAATGTAAAAGTATTTATCTGATGGGTTGTTAAATTTAATGTTCTTCTGTAGGATCTAACAGATGCTATAAATTTTCTGTGCATGTTTTAAATTAGTGTTATTATAAACATATGAAAACCTAGCAAAGCTTAGCAAGGATTACGTAGATGGTTTAATAATCTTTAAAGTCATATTTCTTGAATGCTTAAACTTACAAGTGATTCTGTTGAAATGACACGTACAATTGCTTGTACCCACAAAGTTTTTGTAATACCTCGTACACTTATGAAGAATCTCAATAAAAGTGGGCAATCCGACATAAAAAACTTGCTTCTCTTATGATGTAACTATTTTTGAAGTCAAATAATATACAAGTTGTGAATTTTTTTTTTCTATATATAGCAGAAATTGATCTTACTATTCCCAAAATATTGCTTTCTTATTCAGAGTTGCCCTAAAATGCTTACCACTTTTTGTAGTGTAATATGAAATCTGTAATATGATATTTGGAAATTCTTAGTTGTGGAAAATGAAGTGTTAATACAAATGTTAAAAACTGTAATAATGCATCCATATTTCAGTTTTTATGGTTGTAAAATCATTTTGAAGCTAGAAACTGAGTTTTACGTATGTTGTATTATAACTGCAATACAACATTATCAAAAATTAGTAAACATTTTGGGGTAGCTCTAAGGTAGTTGATAATCAGTTTAATACTAAGATCTGTTGCTGCATTTTACCAAAAAAATTAGATAGAAAATAAAATTTTAACACACATTTATTTTGAATCTAAAAAGTAGTTAAACCAGAATAAAGCTTTGTCTTTTGTTTTCAGTTTTTGTGTTTTTATTGAGATAACACTATAAATAAATGGGATATTTTAAAACCATTAATAAGAGTATACCCTGATATCAGATGTATATGTCACTGAAAAAACATATGATTTAAAGATTACACAGAAAATGTACAAGTGCATTAAAAGATCATTCTGAATATTGATAGTTTTTTTCATAAATGTTAAGGTATTATTTTATTGAAACAAAAATTGGTTCTTCTAATTACTATTGTACTTTAATGAGGAAGGTTTGATACAACAAGATGTGGTAATAAAATAAAGTTTTAATGCTTTAGTTAGTAGTAGAAACGTATTAATTCAAAAATACAATAACTTTTATTGAATTTAACTATTCCTTGATGATGACCCAATGGTTGAAATGTTGTTATCATTAAAATCAGAATTTCCCTACTGTAAGTGTTGCTGTTATTGTATTTTTGAAATAATATGGATTTGGTTTCCTTGATACTTCATTTATTAAGACATGAAAGCAGGAAATTTGAATTTAACCTTCTATGTATAGGTGGGATTCAAACTGCATATGTTATGATTTTTTACAGAGTGTTATCCAACATGATAATATGTATTTAATGTCAGAATTATCGATTATTAGCTGGAGTACCCATCCCCTGGACGGAAGTTGCGTAAATTCATGATTAATGCAAGGTTATCTTAGGACATGAAAAGCTGCTTCCCTTATTTGTAATTGTAAGGTATGAAAAAACTGCAAAACATAATGTGAAACTGCATATTTATATGTATTTCCCCATGGACTCAATGAACCTCCATGCCATATATGGTGAAGATCCAATAACATGGAGCAAAGTTGTAGTAAAAAATGCCCATAAAAACTGCAAAATGGAAAACTGAAAATTTATATGTATTTCCCCATAGACTCAATGGAACCTCCATGCCATATTTGGTGAAGATCCAATAACATGGAGCAAAGTTGTAGTAAAAAATGCAAAAATGCCCATAAAAACTGCAAAATGGAAAACTGAAAATTTATATGTATTTCCCCATGGACTCAATGGAACCTCCATGCCATATTTGGTGAAGATCCAATAACATGGAGCAAAGTTGTAGTAAAAAATTCCCATAAAACCTGCAAAATGGAAAACTGAAAATTTGTATGTATTTCCCCATGGACTCACTGAACCTCCATACCAAATTTGGTGAAGATTCGTCCACACTCTGCAAAGTAGTTACATGGACATACAACAGACAGCACTATTATATTTATATAGATTCATTTTACCCTATATTGCTGATTGGAAAACAGAGTGTGGTAAAGGAGAGTAAATACCAGCCTAGGATACTGCATAAAACTATATGATAGAAAAAAAAAATTTTTATTCTTCACATGAACATCACCTTTAACTGTGGCTTCTCAATCTGAATCACACTGATGTCGTCAATTCAAAGATGTATCTTGAGAACAAAAACATTCGTAACACATCTGATTATTTGTTTTCAATAGACTTGTATATTTTGCTGAAAGCTTGCCACATTTCTTATAAATACACAACATCAGAATTATAGTTAACTTTCCTTATCCAATATGGGATCAGTCCATTGGACCAATCCCTTGCACAGTTGGTTAACAGTTTTCTCAAGTATATGCTTAATTAAAAGCATTAATGGAAGAGCCAAGTACATGTACACAAAAATATGTTGTTACTTTTATTTATGTTTTTACAAAACAAATAGTATATGAAGTTGTTAAATTAGACTTATCACACTAAAACAGCAGAAATCTTATAACTTTATTTCATAATTAGCTTTGTGTGATTGTGTGACAAGTACTGTTTTGCTCATGTGTTCAGATGTGAGCTGTGAGAACTCCATAAAAGCTTTCACAAACAATTGCAATGGTTCTGAAATAAGGTATAATTAGCTTTGTGTGATTGCAAGACAAGTACTGTTTTGCTCATATGTTCAGATGTGAGCTGTGAGAACTCCATAAAAGCTTTCACAAACAATTGCAGTGGTTCTGAAATAAGGTATAATTAGCTTTGTGTGATTGCAAGACAAGTACTGTTTTGCTCATATGTTCAGATGTGAGCTGTGAGAACTCTATAAAAGCTTTCATAAACAATTGCAATGGTTCTGAAATAAGGTTGTCTGAGTTTTTTCACGATATTTCATATTCATGCTCTCAAAATACTTTTAAATATGTCTAAGGACTCTAAATACAAGTAGTTACACAAAAAAATTCAAAATTTATTAATTTCATTGATTTTTAAACAATACAATATGAATATGTTTTCATTTATTATCAAACAATGAGCTATTTGTTTGAATGAATTTATCCCTTTGAATATGTATACAACAGTAAGGTTATAGAGATAAGGACATCTGATTGGTTGTAAAGCTATAAGTAACCTAATCATGTGTTACAAGGTCTAAAAACTACTTATTTTGTAGTTTTAAAATGACTTTTAAATTTCATATATTTCAGACAATGTTAATGTAATTTAGTAACACCTAAGTTTATCTGTGTTATAAATTTGATCTTATTTAAGACGATGAAAACGTAAGGGTGAAGTGAAATGGTTCCGAAATGTTAAGGCTCTAAGTATATAGATACCCAGTCAATGGAATTATTACTTTATCACCATTAGATAAAATATACTGTGATTTTTTTGCTGAAATAGAACAAATTTTAGAACTCGCTTTCATGCTGTAATTAAATTAAAATGAAAAGATCTACACTGTATAAAGTAGATTTACTTCTGTAGATGTTCTTATCTTCTTTTTCTAGGAAGAACTGTGCTAGTAATAGCCCATCGTTTGAGCACCATTCAAAATGCAGATATAATTGCAGTACTGGCAGGAGGACTTGTTGCTGAGGTAAGCTAGTATGTTTAATCTGTTTTTCTGGGAAAAAAAACGTATTTAATAATTATTTGAGTAAATTGAAAGCTTCTTTATGGTTTAATATACAGTCATAGTTTTCCTGTACATTGGATTAAATATTTGTATATTTTCAATATTTTGATACCTTTTATAAAGTTTGATTTGATTTTGGTCTGTTAATCTTTTGAGAGTCCTTAACATAATCATGAGGAAACTAAAATTATTTTGTATTATTGATGCTAATATAATTTAAGTATTACATTTCATTGTACCTTGCTTACTAGGTGGGCACCCATAAGAGTCTGAAAAAACATCGAGGACTTTACTGGGATTTAATACGTCAACAACAACTAGAAGAAGAGGTCCAGGAGCTCGTAAGCCACGAGCGTGAAAAGGCTCACCATGGATAAACCCTTTTATTCATCACATAATATTAAAGAAGTTCATCATCAATTATTTTTATGTAGAGCACAAGATTTAGAAGTTACGTCATGAAAAATATATTTTTGTTTAATTTATACGATATGTAATACTTAGAGAATTTCATATTGGAGATTTATTTAGTATAGATATTTCTGTTTCGTGTATAGAATAAACAGAGTACATTACAGGGTTTTATTTTGTTGTAATATCACTTAGTTTTTTATATAGTAAATTACTTTCATAACAAAGGCCTTAAAGGATTTGAAATAAAGATTATCACCTAACTTTATGGGTTTAAATTATGACAACTTGTATAGTCAAGTATTATTTGTTAAAGAATGTGAAATGTGATACTACAGAGCATTTTCACAAGCATGTATATAAACCATGAAGGAAAGGTTGATAAGTAATTTTTTTTTCAATTGTTGTAGTTCTCCAAGTTAAAAATTAAAACATTTGACTTACAGTGTTCAATTGAAATTCTGAATTGAACAATAAAATATTTCGAAAATAAAATTCAACTCATAGTTTCAATCTTGAGAAGTTTAAGTGTTGTGAAAAACGTACCTAGTTTGTTTTTGATGATATAAATAGGTCTCACTACTACTGTATTTGTATTATCACAGCTGGCCTGAAGAGATCCGATATTGAGTAAAATGCCTTGTCGACTACATTTTACTTTATAAAGTTTACAAACTATTGTACAGTTAAAAAGTATAGTTCTTATACTTTTTAATAGTATATATACACCTGGAAAAAAGTTAAGCACCCCCAAATATTTTTCAGGATTGCTTATTGAAAATAAGGTTT